ACCGGAGAAACGATTTAAAAGAATTGCAATGGGAAGAAATTAGTAAAAGGATGGGTACACATTATACAAGTAAGTAAAACGCAGTTTTTTTTTAACTGTTGTCCAGACACAGCTTGAAACTTTATTTTATACTGTACATACAAAAACACTTCAGATAAAAATGCATCATTGGCATGAATTTTCACTCGCAATTGATTTGTCCCTAAAAAATGTAATATTCAATTAATTAGTAACATAAAATATAATTTATTTCATATTTTTATTTTCTTATAGTTGAGCATGTAAAAAAACGGTGGAATAACATGAGAGGTACATTTCTTGATAATGACAAAAAAAGAAGAGACTCAAAAAGAAGTGGTAGTGGCTCTGAGGAAATTTTTAAGCCGAGATGGCCTTTATATACAAAACTTGAATTTTTAAAAAAATCAATCTCGTGTTCACCAAGTGTATCCAATTTATTACCTACAGTACGTTTATCATCTCAATTTGAAAATGAAAAAGAAAATCAGGATCCCACTCTTCAAACTGATAACATTGAAAATCCATCTCAACAAACTTGCATTATTGACAAAAAAATGCAATATTATTTTGATGAAAAGTTTCGAAAGTAATAAGTTATAATTTAAATTGATTATGAATATAAATTGATTATAAACTCTTACATTATTTATTCATAAATAATATAAACAATATAAACAACTAAATTAATCATTATTCTTTTTTTTTATTTTTTAGTACGTTTACATTAATTCCTCAAGATATCCAATATTCTGAATCTTCGCAGAATTCTTTCAAATCTTCACAAGTTATTGCAAATTACACTTCATCATCTTCAACTATATTCCCATTAATTTCTCAAGCTTTTTTAAGCGATCCTGAGAGTCCTACTTCCGTATCCGGTATAAGGGGAAAGAAACGCACAGAAGATGAAGCACTTTATGTAAAAAGAAGAACATCCAAAAAGCAAAAAAGTGAATCAACTATGGATGAAGCTGTTGAAGCGATAAAACAGATAGCCACACAGCCAATGCATTTTCCCCAATCTGATCGGCAGGATGCTATTGACTATTTTACAGCTTACATTGGGGCTAAGTTGAGAGAAATGTCCCCTGAGACTAGAAAGCGTTTAGAGGAAGAAATTATAAAACTACTATTTACTACTAATTAAGACAAAAAAAAGTTATATAATTTTTTCTGTCTAAAATTTATACAATGTCTTGTTAGCACATCTTTGTAGCGCATATTATTTATATAATGTATGCTTACGTGTGCAGGTGTGCACAAGAGGTTGTCTTTCTAAAAAACTAAAGATTTTTGTGAAAAAGAGATCACGCATGCATGTGTGTGTTTTATACACACATAATATACACTTTTGTGATATGCGCTAACAAAACTCTTTTTAATGAACCACGCATTGAAAATTAAAACTTACGAATTAAAGATTAGAATTTAATCATAACATAAGATTAAAATTATTTAATTGACAGTGTTTAACAAACGTTTTGTTGGAAGTTTTCTTCACCGAAATAAAGTTATTTTTCTAGATATAAAATACAATCCAATTAACTCGAACAAAACTTTCAAGTTGCAAAATAAGCATTCTGTACATTAATTGGATTTATTTTACAATTCGCAATTTTTAATTTTTAATGTATTATGCGATTTTATTAAGTTTTATTTTGCTTTTATTTTTTTGTTTTATATTTTGCGTCAAAGCATTTTATTAAATATTGTATTACACAAATATGTTAAAGTGAAATAATTTCATATTTGAAAGGTCTGTGATCGTAACGTAAACTGTTTAAAATATTAATTTTAAATTTGTTATAAATGTTATATTCAGATAAATAATAACTTTGTATAACGTAAAGATTTCTATAGTAAAAATATTATTCTCGAAGTTTAATGTAGAATTTTCTTCTATTCATATTTGACTAATTATGAAAAACTGTGATAATAAGATAATTTTTTTTCTAATAAATGTATGGGCTTACTACTAGTAATCGACACCAAATAATGAAATAATATTTTATTTAGTAACATATGCGTATTTAATTATTTATTATGTATTATGCGCACACACACAAAGACTAATAAAAGAATCAAATATTTATTTTTAATATTTTATTACTGATAATATAATGTTTATTTTACTCTTTATAAGATTTAATACATAAGATATACTTTTTGACTTTATATACTAAGTTAAGAAAATTATTTTTAAGTATAAAATGAGTAATAATAAAAAATATGTAAAGCGAACATTTTATTTTTCTTTATTAAAATCTCTTTTTTCAGTTTTGATATATTTGAATTATTTTTTTCTTGCAAATCATTATATGTTCATGTATTTTGGCCAAGTACTACTCTCTCTTGCCATGATACAGCTCCAGGTCCGTTAAAATATATAGTCCACCTGTCTCGAAGGATGCGAGCATCAGTTGCATGGTGATTTCCACCTTGATGACACAATTGTGCTAAACCATTAGCTGCTTCTTGTCTCCATTCACCAGGTCTTATATAACCTATTAATTCATTTTCTTCAACAAGAAAATCTGATGGAGTATACATAGCACGACCTATATTTAGACTACGCAACATATTATGGAAACAGCAGTAAGCCATTGTGATTCGAGTTGCTTCATCAGGGTCGTATCTCATAGCTGTTCGAAAAATCTGAAATCTTGCACCCAGTATACCGAATGCATTTTCTGAACAGCGTCTGGCACGTGATAACCTATCAAAATAATGCAACACATAATTCCATTTCTTTAATTAACATTAATATTCATAATTGATTAATTGTCATGTTATTTCATAATTTTGATTAAAAGATCATACAGATTTACATTTATACCTGTAGTTAAAAATTCTTCTATCTAACCGATTACGACACTGATCTTTTGGAAATGGAATGAGCAAGTATTTTGTGAGAGGGAAAATCTCATCACCAACCAGTACATAAGGAAAATTATCGACACATCCAGCAATTGGAGATGGTTGAGGCAAAGGAATATTATTGTTACTCAAATGAGATTTGAGACTACATTTGTTCCATATGTGAGAATCACTCATTCTTCCATTGGTACCTATATCTATGTATATAAATCTT